CCCCTGGGGTCGCAAACTTGCCGAGAATGGTGTGCCAAACTTCCCGGGCCCACCTGGGGGCCTGCCCCAGGGCCCAACGATCGGCCCTGGACCCCGTGACGGCAAAGGCCGCGCTCCTGGATTACTTAGACGAACAGGGCGTGATTTGGGCCATCTCCAAAGACTGCAACCGAAACAAGGATTTGTTACTGAGCCCTTCAATAGCGGCCCCGAAGGCCCCAGCGGGCAAGAGGGCCGTCGTGACAATTTCCAACATCTTTGACCCGCGGTGGCGGCGAGCTCACGCAGGCGCTGGCCTCGGACCGCGGCAATCCTCAGCCTGACCTTGCGCTTAGCAGCCGCTCCGTTGCACCCGAAGGAATTGCCCGCCGTGAAATCGCATCCTGCATTGGTGGCTGCCGCCTGGAGCTTGCCCCCCGTCTTCCCGAGGGCGGATGTCAGAAGCCTGGCTAACGACGCTGACGACGCGACGACAGCTCCTTTGTGAACAGCAATCTTGGCCTCAAGGTCTATCTCGATGAGACGGGCAAGCTCTTCGGCAACACTTATGATTAGCTTGAGAACCCTGATCGTGGTGCCGTGGCAAGTGATGGGCAAGTCGCCCCAATAGAAATCAAAATAGATTGCCGAGTGCAGCGATCTGACTCGCAGGAAGGCTTGGACACAGTAGATTCTAACATAGAGGATGCAGAACGAACAGCCAACCACGACGCCGTTTGTCGCTGCGAGCGGCTGTGCCACACAACGCGTCCACGCTATGTGGCGCCAGGAGCCGTAACCTGCTAGGTGATTGGCGAGCAGCGTCTCGGGGAAATTCAAAGCTAGCGCACGTGCTCGAAGCTTGCCCCTCTTGAAACGCTCAAAGAAGGCTCCCATGTCCCAGAGAACACCAGCCGAGGCCCCTCCTCCAGCAACGGCTCCTTCCGCTCTGAGACTCTGCCGCCATGCTACGTCTATGGGGGATCTCCCTGCTCCGCATGCGAACCAGGAGTAGTCGTGCTTGGCAATCCAGTCCTGCGCGAAAGGCAGGCGCATCTTGCCGATTATTCTGTGCATCGTGGGGAATATACGTATGGGTCTGTAGCCGCCTTGAGCTTTCCGAAGGAGCGCCACGAGGACCCATTGGAGCTGCCCAGGGAGCTCACCAAGGACCTCCGAAACGTAAATGATTCTGGCGCAGGCCTCCAGGGCTTCCTCAGATAACATGCTAAGGTGCCTCATGTGGAACCCGTCGAGTGAGATTGCAGAGGCCTTGCCGTAGCTCCTAGAGAGGTCCCTGAGAGCGTCCGCGGTGGGGATCCCGATGGGCTCGTGGAGGTCGCTGCCCCGATGAAGAGGCTCAGCTGCAGGATCCCAGAACTTACCAAACTTGGCCCTGTAGGTGTCCAAGGTGCTCTGTATAGAGGCCGTGAGCTTGCCCTCAATCACAACAGCGTCAGGCCCCCACTTGGTGCGCTCTTTTATGAACTTGCGTGCAGCTTCGGCCCCCCTGTCGAGGGCATTGTCAACCCGCTCTTTCCAGGGCCGGCGTTGGCTGACCTCGCAATTGACAGAACTTGCTTGGCGAGCATATCAGACCTCGCCTTGAACGTGTGCAGCTGCGCAGTTGTAGCTGCTAACTTATCGCCGCCGCAGGGGCCCCCTCTGATGGCTGCAAGCATCGGCTTAAGGTAGCGTTGAACGTCTGCAAGAAGCGTGCGCGTACTATCATGCAGCATCGCGTGCTGCGGTGTGGCGCTCACTAACCGTGAAGCGAGGTCGTAGACAGCCGGCCTGGCGGTCCTGCCTATCTTCGCTCTCCTCGTCCAATCCTCTTCCTCCGCGAGTAATCTTGACAGGCTCAGAAGTCTGGCAGCAATCCAGCTCGACGCTGACGAGAGGAGGCCGTGCTGCTTGTTGGCTTTATCTTGTTTTATGATTGGCCTAAGTATGGGCTGCGGGGCACGTCCTCTGAGACCTGGCTTGAGTAACTCGCCCCCCGTGCGCCGGGCAATGTCCTGCCCCGCAGCGTCGGCCCAGCGCGCGTAGGCCACGGCGAAGCCATCGCGCAGCACTGCCTTGGGCTGTCTACCTATATCAGAAATCAGGCTACCTAAAAGTTCAGCAACCTCGCTCCAGGAAGCGTTACTGGGGTGGGTGATATCCGCATCCTCCTCATTCCTGTCGAACGAGGAGGGGAGGGAGGGAATGGTGGGAAATTGTAGGACCCAGACCTCTCCAAAGGCGGGGGGCAGGCCCAAGACAACGGGGAAGTGCGGCTTGGCATCCCAATCGAAATCGACATCGATAGCTCTCACTGCGTTGGCGAGTTGCTGCTCGACAGTGAACATATCTATTACTGTGTTGCTCGCCTTGCATGTGCCCATCGAGCATGTTGGTGCAAACACCTGACCTTTGATAAAGGCAGTACTCCGAGTACTCGAGCTGGTCTTGAGTAAGATTGAAGTCGCCTGCAATGATATACTGCATCCGAGAAACCTTGACCATTTCAGACACGGCCTCCAGGATCGCGACGTTTTCTGGCGAGAAGACTTGACTCGCGTGCCCGTAGAGAGACATGCAGAGGATGCCCGAGGTCTGGGGGGGCTCCACAACGACTCCAAGGACTCGATGAGGCACCACAACTCCTCCAGGTGGCCCCACGGGTTCCTCCAAGGCGTATCATCCAAGATCGTCGGCAACGAAGATAGCGACCCCAGCAGACGCACCTATCTCCCCTACACCACTCGCAGAGGGGGCAAAATTGGTAGTGGCAACTGACGGGGCCCAAAAACTCTTCCAGCCGTGCCGCGTGGCCCAATCCGAGGCCTCGGCGAGACTTAAAACCCGAGCCGAGGTGAACCTCCGGAGCAAACAAAAATTTGGTGGGACCCCACGCAAGCTCAAGGAGGCGCTTCTTGAGGGCTCCCCAAGAGGACCCGTTAAAGGTCTCAAAGCGGGTGCACTTGGGAGAGGAGGGATGGAGGGAAGAGGAAGTAGCCTTCCCTGCAGCGGCTGCCGCTGGGAATGGCCCGTGCAAAGATGGCTGATCGCCGGCCTCAGTCGGGGCAGCACTGGTGGTCACCGTGACAGTGCGCTTCGCCGATGCTGCCCTGGCTCCCGTCGTGGAATGGCGGCCGTCACCCGTGCGGTGCATGGCCGCGGCCTGAGCCAGGCCCTTTGACTGGCTGGGAGGCAAGCTGCCGAGCGGCAGCTGTCAGCTGGTCCTGGTACTTGGCCCGCGCCCCCCGCAGTGCTTCGACCTTTTTTATCGGCACGTGTTTGGCGAGAGCCTCCATCTCAGTCTTGAAACAGAAACATTCTGAATCAAACATGGGGGGTGTCCGCAATCGATGTCGATGGCCGTGGCGAACTGCTGGCTTTCTCTGGCAGCGCTCCCACCACGTTGGACATCTCCTCAATGAGCGTCTGGAACTCTGCGTTGCCAGCGAACTTCGTCTTGGCCTCGGCGATCTTGGCCTTGGATGCCTTGGTGAACTCCGCGAGCGAGCCTGGACCTTCATCTGGCGCCGTGTCCACCCAGACCGTCTTGGCATCTTGCTCTTCGCGCTTCTGATCCTCCTGGGCCTGCTCGAGCCTCTGCTGCTGCTCTTGCATGGCCTTGTCGTTGGCTTCGAGCTGCGCGTGCAGCTCATCCTTGGCCTTGTACAATTCCGCAATCTGCATCTTGATCTTGTCAACCTTCTCGGCCGCCCGCTGCGCCCGTGTGTGACGCCGCGCCATGCGCTGCGCTGGCGGCAGGTTGGCCGCTTGCGTGGCTCGAGCCGCCACCAAGTCGGCCCTTGCCTGCTGCAGCTTGGTGGCCACGTCTGGCATGACAGTCGGGTCCATCTGCTGGTAGGTATTGACGAGCAGCTCGAGTTGAACAATCCTCTTGTCGTCTGAGTCGGCACCCTCTGCGGCCTGAGTGGCCGCTGCGTCCTTGCCCTTGCCTGTGACGCGGGAGCCTTTGCCGTTGCCTGGCTGTGTGCCATTGGCTGGTACGCTCGTCGCCTTCGACTGGGTCGTAGCGGCAGCTGCTGTGATGTTGGCGGTGACCTGCTTGGCGATGGCGTCCAGCTGCTGTTGCGTGAGCCCTGGCTAACGAGCTCCACCCACGCCTCCATTGCCACCGTCGTCCTTGCCACCCCCCTTGCGGCTGAAGCCGCTGCGCTGGGACTCGCTGTTGTTGGGCTTCTCGTAATGGAGGCCGCATATATGACACCACTGCTTACTGCTAGCAACTGGAGTCCAAGAACGAGGGCCACACTTCTCGCACTGAACCCACGAGCGCCCAGCACTCGGCGCCATGGCTGAGTGAGTTCTGGAATGGTGGCTGGATGAAAGACTCGCGGCGCCAGGCGGCTCCCGCGAGGATCGAGCGATGTCGGCCGCGTAGGCCTAAATAATAAACGCCGACGGGTGAGGCTATGCCGCCTGCCTGCCCGGGCGCGAGCACGTCGTTGTGATTGGCGCGCTTGACGAGGAGAGCCCAAGGGGGGGATGGTATTCTGTGTCGAGACCCCCCATCAACAGACCCGGCCCCCCCCCCTCCAGGCGGGGAAGGGATCAAAGGGAAGGGGCTTCCCGTCGACTCAATTACGACGTTGTTCAATTTCGTTGTGACTGGCGCGCTTGAGGAGGAGAGTCCAAGGAATGATCGCCAGGGGGGGATGGTGTTCTTGGTCGGGACCCCTCCCACAGACCCGTGACCTTCCCCCCCTGCCGGCGGGCCGGCGGGGAAGGGAAGGGGGTTCCCTTCGACTGAACTACGACGTTGCTCAATTTCGTTATGCTTGGCGCGCTTAAGGAGGAGAGCCCAGGGAGGGCCCAGGGAAAAGAAGGGATCGGCGACGGTTGGACCGATCGTTCGGCGATTCGGGGCCGTCGAAGACGAAGACGACGAACGGAAGGGCGTCCCCAACGCGCCGACAGGGCCGGCGGATTCTCGACCTGGTCGCCCTGGTCTCGTCCCGCGTCCCCCCCCCCTCTCGTGCCCCCCTTCCCCTCCGCCGCCAGAGGCGACACTGGGGCCAACTCACCCCGACACGCTGGCCTCCATGAGCAACCTGGCCACCCTGCTGCAGGCCAGCAGCGCGGGGGAGGAGGAGACTGTTTTTGTGTTGGTTTTGTTGTTCCCTCCACCTCTCTTCCTCCTTTCGGGGGGGGGAGCGGGAGGGAAGGGAAAAGGGATACGGCGGAGAGAGAGAGAGAGAGAGAACGAAAGCGAGAGAAAGATATATATATATATACATGTAGAACAGAGATAGAGAGAGGTAACGAAAGATAAAGAGAGGGGGGAAGAGAGAGAGAGAGAGACGGACATACAGACATACAGACAGACGGACAAGAAGACAAACAGACACATGCGATCGGGAGAGAGAGAGAGAGAGGGAGAGAAGCCGACAGACAGGGTAGACAGACAGACGGACAGACAGAGAAAGAGAGAGAGAAGGGAGAGGGATAGAGAGAGAGAGAGAGACAGAGACCGCACCACTTCGGAAAGTGTCACCGTCCGGGCCATACGGTTGCACGCGCCGAAGGGACCCGCTTCACAAAGCGGGAGGCGCTGCATGCTAAGCAGGGGTGGTGGGATGACCTCCCCTTCGGCGCGGACAGATGGATCCCTGGCCGGGAAGAAAATTGTCGGCGGTGATCAGACCCCACGGGGGCCCGTCTGCGCCACCATACTCAGGGAGGCGCCGGCCTCACGTGTGGGTTGGCATGCACGCGTCGGCGCCTCCAAAAGCAAGCGCCGCCTTGGGCCGTCTCCCGCAGCGGACCAGAAAAGGCAGACGACGGAGCAGGTGGCAACAATTTTCACCGCCCGTGTGGAAAAGCCCTTGGAGTGTCGTCCTCAGGGAGTCAGAGAGGGTTTGGAGATGACTTTGGAGGGTGGTCCCCCTGGTCGCATCAGGGCGGAAAGCCCGTTGTGTAAGCCTCCTGGCCTCTGGTGCACGATGGAAGCTGTCAATCAGCGGTACTCCCTGTTCCCGTATCTAGTGCAAGTAAGTCGCCAGCTGGTTGACGCGTTGATTCAGTGCTTCATTGGTGGCGGTGAGACTTGTATCGCGGTGAGGTGCTCAGTGAGGGCTTTTCTCAGGTCAGTACGATGTTCTACGGTCATTCGGTTGCCAGCACCCTTGTGAGTGGCATGAGGGCCTTTGGTCCCCGTTCCTTGCTGGGGCGGGGGGCCCGGTTGCAAGAAACGCTGCGTCGGGAGGGTGGGTGTGCAGTAGCATTGCCCAGCCCATCGGGCTGGGGCGTCGGTGCTGGCCCACGGGGCGCAGTCCACGACCCCTCACCTACCATGCGCAGGTCCTCTCTTAGGTGGGGCGGGGCAGTAGGTTCCTGCGGCGATGGCGCGCCGGCGACGCTGGCGAAGGCGTTCAAGGTTGAACTCCGCATGATAGAACGACGCGGAAGCACCGAGGGACACGGGAGCGCCGTAGGACCCAACGGAATTCAACCTTGAACGATCGGGGTTGCGATCGGTTCAAGGTTGAATGATCGACGTGGTGTCACAAACCTTTGTGCACACCGACGCTGCACGAACTTACAGTAGTACGTAACATGGTGGCCTCGCGCTTCCAACAGCCCAGTGCGTGGGTCTTCTGCTGGCGCCGCCCCGCGCCCTTGCAAGGCCATGGACCGCGGCGCGGAGGCGGAGGCGCTTCACCGGCGCGCGCACGAGGGCCGGGAGGCCCAGCGACGGCGGCGGCCGCGGGGGATGGCGCCGGTGCTAGCAGCCACGACGGCGAGTGGGGTTGCGTAGTGTGGGTGGGCGTTGCGCTTGGGGAAACGTATGGCTCGAGGACGCCGGAACTCGGATTTGCCGACTCTTTTCGACGAGCCCGTCCTGGGTTTTGAGGGTCAGTTTTCGTAGGATGTTTGCAGCGGGAGTTCGCGTCAAATTTCAGATTAGGCCTCGTCATTTTCCTGACGGCCCCGTCAGGCCATCCCGAGTCCCCCTAACCAGAGTCGTACGTCTTCCCGATGCATGGGGGGGGTGAAGACCGCTGCACCTCTTGGGCCCCAGAGGGTTTCCAAAAGGGCCCCCTGCCGCCCAACAGGCGCACGGAAGGTGCACGTTTCTCCCCCTTATCAAACAACGCTCACGGTGGCGACGGGTAGCCAGGCGTCCAACGTTTTGAAGAAGCCAGGGCGCAGAGTTTTTTGGCCGTTTTCGGCCCCAGGGGGCCCTCGCGGGACCCCGTGGCCGTCAACAAGAACAAGTGGATTCATCGGCCGGCCTCGAGCATCGGCACCGTCGAGCGAACAGTTCGGTGGCAAAAGGCCGGCCCTGAGGAAGCGGTCGAAAGGTCCGAGGGCCTACTAAGCGGCCAAGCGGCCTACTAAGTACCCGTGCCGATCAATGATTTGGGTAAGTCGATAAGCGGGGGGGTAGGGTTTGGAATTCGTCGAGCCCCACCCTCGCTTCCAATCGATTCAGGAGAATCGAAGGTTGCTGGGGGTAGAGTTCGGGTGTCGCCACCTGCCAACCCAACGCAAACATCGGAGCGCCAGATGTCTGGGTCGCCATCCCCCGTCCCCCTTTCTTCCCCGTGCTGGCTTCCGCGCCGCACGTTGTGCCCCAGAGTGTGGGAATGAGCGCCTCTAGCTCATTGATCGGGTGAGGAGAGTAGCCCTCCCCGTCCCCCTGGACTTGAACCGTATAATCGGGAACTGGACCCCCTCCGTAACCATTTTGGCTCAAGGCCATACTTCTTCTATTCACTTGTTGTTAATCCTCAGTCACTCACTACCCATTCCATCCCGAGGCCCATACCTCCTTTTCTCTACTCCTACGAGGGCAAGTGTGTGTGTGTGTGTGTGCGTGCTGCGCGATCAGAGATCGCACTGGGACCGAGAACGTGCTGAAGGAAAAGAAGGGGAGACCCCTTGTCATCCAGAGATACCGTCGGTGGGGAGACAGTGGTAGCGGAGCCTCTGAGGAGGCTCGGTTCTGCGGACCCGACGCTGTCCCAGGAGTAGGGTGCGAATTCGCCTCACAGCTCAGCCTCGGTAGGTCAGGGATCTATCGTGGCAGCCTTGGGAAAAACAAGACAATGGGCAGATGAGGATGGCCAGTTCCGCCTCTCGGAGGAGCAGCCCAAAACCCTGCTAGATGGAGATGTGACGGCGACGAGGCCGGCGCCACCAGAAGGGCCGCCACCCGCACGGCCGGACCCGGCCACGGGACTGTCGCCACAGCAGCTGCAGCAGGTGATCAAGATGGTGCGAGACCAGGTCCAAGAGTCCAGCCGAGCAGATCGGGCAACCGACGCAGCAGGCGAGGGACGGGCCAGTGGAACAGCACCAGATCAGGACGCCGACCCGCGGCAGCGCGAAGACCCCTGGAGCCAGAGACGTGCCGGAGAGCGAGACGCCTCAGATGATGTCGAGGACAACGCCGACCGGAACAGCTGGTGGAACGACGGCTGGAACGACGGCTGGAAGGGGGACTCCGTCTGGAAGGACTGGGGCGGCTGGAGCGAGCGGGGCAAGGACTTCGCTGGCCCGGACGCCTGGAGCAGCTGGAACGAGTATAAGCTATGGAGACGCCAGCTAGTACGCTGGCGGCAGCTCACGGACATTCCCGCACACAAGCATGCGGATCGAATCCTCAAAGTACTTCCTCTCGACCGTGAAAGGAAAATTGATGATTTGTCGGGCGAGGTCCTCACCTCCAACAACGGCGCCGACAAGATCATAGAGCGACTGGACCTCTTGTCAGGCGAGAAGGTGGATGACGAGAAGAGGAAGGCCGGGAGGGAGTGCCTCTTCTCCTTCTCACGCGTTGCCAAGGAGAGGGTCTTACCGAGCGCGCCGCCCGGATCGACCTGGCATTCGACAGGGTGGCGGCTCTGGGCCTTCCAGTCCCAGAGGACTGGAAGTTCATGTTCATAGAGGAAGGCGTTGGTCTCGATGAGAGAGTTCAACAGTTGATGAGGGTCATGATGAAGACCCGCGCCTCCTACTCGGAGGCCTTCGCCGCGATCAGGGAGATGGGCGTCGCCCGTCGAGAGCATCTATCGTTTCAAAAGAGATCGTTCATGGCAGAAAATAGTTTCCCCAAGGATTAGCCCACATACTCCGCGCAGACGGGCGATCTCGATCTCGACTCCACCCTGGAGGACGACGACGTCTCATCGTTAGATGCCGACGGCGAGCAGCAGGCCCACGTGACGCTGGGGGGCCTTGGACTGCACGACGATGAGCTTCCACAGGCGTACGCGACAATGCAAGGCGAGAGACGCAACGCGTGGAAGCAGAACAGGGACCTCAAGCGCAATATGAAGGTAGACCGCAAGTTCTTGGACCGCAGCAAGGACAAGCCAGAGCTCGCCCACAGGCAGCCGCGCGGACACCGCGCCGGCAATGGGCAGGTCAGGCCAAGGAAGTCACGTCTTCCACTGTCGGAGCTGATTAAGAGGACGAGGTGCCGAAATCGCAATCAGAGGGGCCCTTGGTCTCGTGAATGTCCGGCGCGGAATGGCCAGAGTGCAACCGCAGCTGCCGCCGCGAATGTCAGCGCCTACGTCTATGCGAACATCCTCGACCCGACCCAGCACCACGACCCAGACTTCGACAGCGCCACTGTCGCCTTCGTGAGCGTCGAGTCCAGCGAGATGATCGTAGACGCCGCAGCGGGTCAAGGACTGATCGGCATGCCAGCTTTGAAACGGCACTGCGAGCTTCTGAGCACGTGAGGTTTGCGAGTGCCCCAGGTGCCCCCCCGGAATCGCTCGGTTCGCGGAATCGGGGGGGGGGGGGGGGGGGCGCCGCAGTTCTGAGCGCGGCTCTGATCCCCGCGGGCATCCAAGGGAAGATGGGGGTCATCGAGTTGGACGTCCTCAAAGAGGACGTGCCGCCCCTCCTCCCAGTAGGTTTTCAGGAGATGATGCTAGGGACAAGAATCGACCTAGGCGCCAACCAGATCGAACTCAAGCGTCTGGGGGTAGAGGCGGACATGCGTCGGCTTCCCACCGGACATCGCACGATGCGCCTAGACGATTTTTTCAAGTGCCCCCCCCCCCCCCCTCGGTGCCAGCATCTGGAGGTCAAAGAGCAAGATTTCAGGAGCGAGACGATGTCTGGGTACACCATCGTCTCCCCGTCATCATCCTCTAGGGCTGAGTTCTGTTCTCTTCCTCCTCCAGGGGGCCTCGCGTCCAGCGCAGCCGACCGACTCAGGGCCCTGGGAAGGTTCGGGGGCTCAGGGGGCCCCGGATGGCCAAGACAAGAACTCCCAGGGATGCAGATCGGAGCTCGCGCAGCCTAGCGTCTTCCCGGATCGAACTAAGGATAGCAGAATGGTACTTAGGAAAACCGAAGGAGAATAACGGGTACGACGGCAGGGGCAACCGGGACGGCGAGAGGCTCGTGAACTTCGGTCGTTTCAGAGACGAGAGACGGCCAGAACCAAGCAGTCGATCGTCTGGATCATCGCGTTCGTCATTACGCAGCGGCTGGGCTCGAGCATTCGAGCTGCCAGCTATCCCAGCGAGCCCGACAGAGAGATCCCCCAGCGACCTTATCGCCGCGCCGGGCTCGGCAGCGCACCTGTGAGACGGAGCTATGTCGCCGCTAGGTGTGATCTCGGTCAATGGCCCCCGCGGCTCCTCCACCTCCAAGGGCAAGAAGAAGGGGCAGACCGAGGCGCAGCGCCGGGCCAACCGCCCCACGACGATGGGCGAGCAGCTGGGCGATCACCAGCAGTGGACCCGCGCAGCGACCGGGGCGCCAGTTCCACAGTCCATGACCCGCGGCCAGAGGTCGTGGGCGGCCCTGGTGGGCGCCATGGTCTTCTGGCTCTCCAAGCTGGCCGACGAGTTTGGCAGGAGGATGATCAATCACCGTTTCTGGCCGACGAATCTCTTCAAGCGCATGCGGGTGATCCCGCAGCAGTCCTACACGTGCCGCCACATGCCCATCAACGTGGAGTTTGGCAGCAATGGGCATGGGCGTTGGTGGGTGCGCGGGCCGAGCACCACGCGGGTCGCCTGCCAGGACGCCGAGCCAGACAAGTCCACGCCCAAAAAGGAGATGACCTGCGCGTGCAAGCGCCAGACCGCCGCCTGCTCGCTGCGCCGGAAGGGTTTCGCCCAGCTGGGCGAGGCCGATCCAGAGTGGCAGGCCCTGGTGGCGGCCCCCGCCCTTCCGCCGGGAGTGCCCGCGGCGAGGACGTCGGCGGGGGCGGTGCCGCCATGGCCAGCGTCGGCCGACGCTCAGGCAGCTGGGGCACCCCATCAGCAGATCGAGTCAGCGCAGCCCGACGTGATCATGCACGACGTGGAGGGGCAGGCCAAGGAGCAGAGGGCCCAGCGTCGCCGACAGGCAGCGCCATCTCCAGCCAAGAGAGCGGCGATGGAACCCTCGGCCAGCTCGGAAGACGGCAACGACGAGACCATGCGCCTCTTGCAGCAGATCGCCAACAAGCAGAATCAGCAGGAGTCCTCCATCAACCAGCTCTGCGCGACCGTGTCGGGCCAGATGGAGGCGGTCGCGACTCTCCAGTCGAGGGCGCAGCAGCTCTCAGCGCATTCGTCGACGGCGCAGGTCCTGACCGGACCTGCCGCGACGAAGTCACTGCCCCCGCTGGTGCCGCGGGAGCCGGTCCCCAGGGCGCCCAAGCCGGCATTGATTTGGATCCGCCTACCCCATACTCTCAATACCTTGGCCGTGGACAACAGGCATACGACGTCCCCCAGAACGTCTTCGACAAAAGAATGCCTACCTTTCTACCTATGTTGCCTGCCCACAGTGACAAATAATATTATACAGCTAAACAAGTTCGTGGAATGCGACATGACATGCTTGGTTTTACTGATCAATGTATTGAGCGCTACCTGGAGTGCGCCTCCAAGCGTACCCAAGGACCAGGGTCATGTCGTAAACGGTCTGACTCACCGAGGGCTTCGCGATCGACATCTCCTAGCTCCTCCGGGTCGGTCGTGAGACCCACTAGTGCGCTCAACGCACGGTCACGATCACCCAGCCCAGCTGGGTCGGTCGACAGACCTTCCATTGCGACACAACCAGCGACAGTCACATACGATGACCTACCCGACGCAGAGACTCCTGGCATCGAGGACACATCATTTACCGAGTCCGATTACTCCGACGAGGGTATCCTCGGCCAGGACGCGGCGAGTGTACGGATGAAGATTCTCTACTTTGCACGATGTTATCGTTTCGATCTTTTGCATCCAGTATGCATGTTAGCGAGAGAAATTACCAAACGGAATACCACGTGTGACAAACGCCTTCATCGGCTGATATGCTACATCAAAACGACGCGTACCCATTGTTTACATGGATGGATTGGCGATGCTTCAGATAAGCTATCCATCGTGCTCTTCACTGACGCCTATAATGCGGATTCGTGTGCGTTGGACAGGCCAATCACGAGGGACTACATGCATGTATGTACCATATCGGTGTTTTTGCGGCGGCGACCGATTCGCGCACACCCCGAGCGAGGGCTCACTCACCATATGGTAGACACCCTCGTCATCCCCCACCGCCATCGCATACTACAGAGAGGTCTAGGACACTTATGATACGATCGCGCTGCAGCTGTTTTACCATTCGAGCGACGAAGCTCACCAGCATCTTGCTCGCTGTGCGCGAGACTCAATCACGAGAGATCGGTTCTAACCCCGATCCCCCCATTCCCGAGATGGACCAGGCGTCGCCCCTCCACCTCAACGGCTGGGCCATCGCCTGCGACGCCGACCACGGCCCGAACGCCGCGGACGACGACCGCGTGGGCTTCACGTTCCACGCTCAGACGGGTCGCCCTCGCGACGCCGAGAATGGCTTCATCTACGTACATCATCTGCGCTTCGACCATAGTGCAGAGTATGATCTACGAGCGCCCGACGAGTCCGCCCTTGTCGAGGTTACCCGTTCCGCGTCCCTCGACGTGACGGGTTGCGTCGGCAAAGATATGGGTGGAGCCGGCGGCAACGCCCACTATGAATACAGTGCGACCACGGCCACACCGTGGATGCCACTCACGAAGGCCATATGCATGATTTCCAGCCTCTCCACGCGCAACACATCCGTCCAGGATAACCTTCGTGGTTTACATGATCACTTGCATGCTGCGATTCCTGGGTCATACCGCAAGTGCCCGCCAATGGAACTTGCGACGGAGGTGTTGAAGGCAGAGTGGATGATGATGCACAACGACTGGTCAAAAGTGGGCAGTGCATTTCTTGGGCAATATTCCATGGACAGCGTCCAGGATACAAGTCAGCTGTGCAAGGAGGGACTTCGTGTGCCTCCAGATGTGTGCAGCCACGGTTTATCCACCCCCGGCTACGCTCCGAATATCGATCGCGCTGCGATCAAACTTCCCGTGCGCCCACCTGGTCTGGCCAGGACATCAGACACGGCGGGGCACCTCGGCAACGTCGTCGAGGGCCATCTCGTCACCGAAATGAGGGCGTTCTCCGACCTCCACCAGACAAGCCGCTTCCGCCGCAAGCTCAGCACGTGGCAGACTACACGCGGAGGGTTTGGAGGAATCGGCTCCAGCCCCCAGGCGGTGGCAACGCCATCTGGCCACCCTGACGGCTGGATCACCCTCCCAGAGCATGGCGAGAGCCATTGGCAGCCATGCGAGGAGGGAACTGTGCTCGCAGGAGAAGAGCCTACCGTGGAGGACCCTGGTATCACTCCAGGATCCGCCATAGACCCGCTCGAGCTAGCACAGGCAAAATACAGTGCGTCGTGTGGTGGTCGACTGGTTTCCGCTCTTCTTTCAGACAGCGGATGGCATGGGATCATGCAGGAGGACTTGGGACCTCTCCTTCACCATGCCTTCGGCCCGTCGGGGCATGCATGCAAATGGACAAATTTGTACACGGACTCTACGTGGATCATGCACAAGAAAGGTCCCAAAACCGCCCCACACAAGAAATATCCAGGGCACGGCATCGACGAACTCAACGGCCCACAGCAGCGAGACGCCCTCGCTAGGGCGTCCACTGTTGGCCTTGTACCTCTCTTCATGCCGTGCCCCAACCGCGCAGAGTACATGGGCGGCGCCACCCTCGAGCATCTGTCAATATTTATCCGCGACGACATCATGATGTGGGCGTTCTCATATGGCAATTACAAAGAATGGTTCAAACAGAACGACACTCCGATCGGTCAGGATTGTATTATATTGCCAGGGGCTGGTGGCGACACCCGCTGCGATATGGCACAGCTCCGCGAGCAGCCCGCCAAGGCACAGGACAACCGTGTCGCAGCTATTCTGGACTCGCAGTTTGAGTCTACGCTCGAACAGCGAAACATGCTCATCATGATCCGCATGGCCAGAGCCTTATCACTGATGGCTGACAATCATTCAATGGCTGAGTGGCGTAAATTGAATGATCCTATGGGACTATTGTGCTACCGTCTTTCCTGCATACGTGAAACAAAGACATTGCAGCAGGGGCACCAACGCCGTGGTGGTCTGGAGCGCAAACGACATTGCTTGCGCTAGCCATGGTCAGCACTGGTTGGACACCCGTCGCCACCGGGATCGCGCTCCCACCAACGTGCGCGAGCTCGTGAAGATGGAGTGCCAGGATGGCGTCCCGGCGCTTATGCCAGTACATGTGAAAGTGGACCTGTCACGATTCATCGACGTGATGCAATACTTCCGTTGCCCCACCGTCATGGGGCCAGGCAGAGCGGCGCAATGGGGCGT